ACGGATTCAGCGAGTGAGGGCCTGGCGCCGGCCGTTCCACCACGTCTGGCTGCCGAGGGGATGGAGGAGCTCAACAGGGTCTACAGTACGGACACTCTAGAGCAGTTTTAGCAAGCCGACACGAAACCGGGGCCTCTCAGTGCCTCTACCTGTTTGAGGTGAGAACACAGAAGGATACCGGCTCCAAACGAAGGCTATAGAATCTAGTGAACGTGTTGGGGGTCACACAGCCCGCAGCTCTACAAATATCTGTCAGCGAGGCGCCACGAGCCAGCGCCCAAGAGGTTGCAACCTGAGCAGGCAGGGCACACCCTGTTCCTGATAAGCCAGGGTGATTGCATCCACTACCCAGTGGGCCATCCTCTGCTTAGAGATGGCCTTCCCCTTCTGCCGGCCTCCGTAACAGACAAAGAGCTGATTTGAGGTCCTAAAGCTTTGTGTCCGGTCTACATACCATCTCAAGGCTTGGACGAGACAAAGCAAAGCTAGGGCTGGATCTGCCTCCTCCGGGGGCAGCGCTTGCAGGTTCACTACCTGATCCCTGAAGGGGGTAGTAGGAACCTTGGCCACATAGCCGGGCCGGGGCATCAGGATTACCTGGGAGTCAGCCGGTCCAAACTCTAGGAACGAATCGTCGACCGAAATGTGTGCAGGTCCCCTACCCTGGCCAGTGCAAGCAGGAGCAGAATTGTCATTGATAGAAACTTCAGCTCAACTGACTAAAAAGGCCTAAATGGGCCCTGGTGTAGTGCTTTGAGCACTAGAGACAGGTCCCAAGAGGGTATAGAGGGGTCCGGGGAGGATTTAACCTTCTCGCCCCCCTAAGAAACCTGATGACCAGGTCATGCTTCCCTACCGATTTCCCTTCCACAGGGTCATGGTTAGCAGCAATCGCAGCGACATAGACTTTAAGGGTGGAGGGAAACAGCCTTCGCTCCAACCCTTACTGGAAAAAGGAAAGCACAACCCTGATCGGGTATCTCCGGGGGTCTTCTCGGCGAGAAGAACACCACTCGATGAACAGGTTCCACTTCAAGGCGTAAGCGTGTCTCGTAGACAGTGCTCTTGCCGAAGTGATGGTGTTCACTACCTCCTGGGGTAGGTCACCTAGAACCTCCGCGTCCCGTCCAGGGACCAGACATGGAGTTTCCAGAGGTCTGGACGCGGGTGCCACAGGGTGCCCCGTCTCTGAGTCAGTAGATCCTTCCTCTCAGAGGAATCTGCCAGGGAGGGGCTGTCATGAGGAGCACTGGGAACCAGGTCCAAGTGGGCCAATACGGCGCCACAAGCAGGACCTGCTCCTCATCCTCCCTGACCTTGCACAGCGTCTGTGCGAGAAGGCTCACTGTGGAATTTTTTTTTTACCATCTGGGGATGGAGTCTCCGGGGAGCGCAGCTCGTGACAGCTTGTCGGCTGCACGGTTGTGCAGGCCCGGAATGTAAATGGCATGAAGCAAGCTCAGATGCTTCTGACTCCAGAGGAGGAGGTGGCAGGCGAGTTGCGACATGCGACGGGAGCATAGACCACCTTGTCGGTTGATGTACGCAACGGTCGCAGTGTTGTCCGTTCGGACCAGCACACGTGCTTGCCTCGTAATTGCCCTCTGAGACGGTTCAAGGAAAGGCATACTGCTAACAACTCTAGGTGGTTGATGTGCCCGTCCAAACCCCCGACACTGCGTGCCCGTTGTACGTGGCCCCTCTAGCCAGTGGTGGAGGCATCCGTGTAAACCACAGCATGCCTGGAGACCTGTTCCAGGGGTACTCCAGGGACAGGCCGGTGTGACTTGGACCCGGTGAGTGCAGCGTAGCCACGCCCACCTCGGGACTCGGCCATGGAGCCAGTGTTGCAGCGGTCTCATCGGCTGCCTCCGCAACTTTCGTGAAGATACGGGGCGTCAGGGATAGCCCGGAGGGCAGGACCTTGTACTGATATGCTCGTCCTTTGAATGTGAACTGCAGCAATGGTCTGTGGTGTGGAAGGATCGACAAATAAAAGTATGCGTCCTTCAGGTCAATCGCTGCAAAAAAATCTCATGGTCGGATGTACCCGAAGATGCGTTTCTGCGTCAACATCTTGAACGGTAACCGGTGAAGGGCCCGCTTCAAGACACGCAGGTCCAAGATCTCCGCACGCAAGACAGGGGCATTGGCCGCCTTCACTGATGTGAAGCGGATGCCGCTGAACTTGGGGGGACGCCAGGTGAACTGAATCTCATAGCCGAGTCTGATGGTCCGCAGGAGCCACAAGACA